AAAGCCACCGGCCGCCGCGTCGCCGCCGCCGACGGGGAAGACGCCGATGGCATCGGCGGCCGGCGGCGGCGGCTGCAATGGCGGCGCCGCGTCCGCCGATCAAAGCGAGCAAAAAGAGCGCCGGCGCTCGCAAGACGCGAGCGGCCTTTCCTGATTCTTCGTTCGACGTGACAAAAAATGCCATGCCCCCTTGGCTCGCCTCTTGGCATAATGGGGCGCCATGAGCGAGCGCTGGTTGCCGCACACGTTAAGCCTCGCGGTTATTATTTCGCGGCGGATCTGTCCCCGCGAGAGCGAGCGGTGCGGGAACTGGCGGAGAGGGAAAGCGATAGTGGGAGAGAGGAGGCAGAGATGGGATGGGCACGCAGAGTATCGAGCGAAAAAATGGCCGATAGGTAGGGGAAGCGGCGGAGTTCGACACTGATAACCGCCGTTTCCCGGATCCCGCGGTTCGCGAGAACTAAAGGTCGTTCGGCTATCGCGCAAGTCCCGGCCCCTTCGAAGCCGCGCGCGAATTTCGGCATCGGGCGCGGGAGGGGAGGATGTCGTTTCTGCGATCCTGGTGCCGCGGTGATCGTCAACATTCTTTTCACTATCGGGCCGCTCTCCCTTTCTCTCGGAGCTTTCTCTATGCAAATGCGACCGAAAATCACTATAATCTCTTTAATAAAATGAATTAGAGAAGAGGTGGATCTTCCTTGATATCTTTACTGATGTTCTACGAAGTTTTACAAGAAATATTTTGCGCGCTGTATCGCTCGCTTAATCTGTAATCGAGATCTTTTAATCGGCACAAGATTAGATTAATATGGTATTATCAGTTATGTAAAAATTGTGTGTGTAAATATCAACTTCACAACAATGTGTCACAATAGCGTGTGTCACTTTAAAAATTTTTTAAGAATAAGAAAAATTATATCATGTCTCTCTCCTACAATATGTTTGTTAATCTAAACAGGATAAAGAAAAAAAAAGGAGATTTAATATTAATTAAAATTATTTAAAGACACTTTTTGTCAGATGTATATAACTTGCATTAATTTTTTCATAAGAATGTTGAGTTTCAATTTTTTTAGGATTCCGTCTTAAAACTAATATTCCAGTTTTTGTAATGTTCAGAAAATACAAGATGTTATGTATGTCCTCCCTACTTAATAATAGTAAATCAATCACATCAGTAGCCTAAGATTTTATAATCCAATATGAGAAACGATATTTTGAGAACAGAATAATTTTCATTTTATCTAAATATCATAGCGTTTTAACATCATGTTTTTATGATATTTATTTTTCTATTAAAATTGTAAGATTATATTTTATAATATTTTAAATATCTATAATAAAATATAATAACTATCTATTCACGCACATTTATAGGATTGAGTTACGAAGATGCTTTGAGAGATGGTGTCATCTTCTGCAAGCTCATGAACAAATTGCAGCCTGGCTTGATCTCCAAGATCAATACGTCCGGGGGCGATTATAAGATGATGGACAATCTTAATCAGTGAGTATCGTACGGTTCTGAAAAATTTAATATACATATACATTCATGAAAATACGTGAAATAATTTAAACAATGCAAAAATCGTGAAACATCATAGTACAATAATAACGAAACAAAATTGTATTTTCGTTTAAATGTATCGTAAATAATTCGTGAATAATTCGATGTAATACAAGACACAGGTAATTTTTATATTCGTGCCTAAGGTATCTCTCGGCTATCTCGTCGGTTGTCAGTGTCGGAGACGCGGTTCTTGCGATCTCATGCTGCCCTAATCCGCCGTCGACTTTACGCAATCGACAGTGTTTTGCGTCAATTTCTCGATTGCAGAGTATCGACAAGGCCGATCAACGACCGTTGTCGCAGTCGAGAGATTGTTGACCCTCTCGACTCTCCCCGACTTTCGAGAGTCACGCGATATCTGCGGCCACATGAAACGGCGCGAAACGCCCAACGATAGCGATCTTGCTCCTGGCCGGTCGTGCTCGCCTGGTAACCGAGAACCGGCAAAGTCTGAGGTCGGGACCATCGACTATACATTGGAGCGCGATGAAAGTGAAAACGGAATAGATATATGTAGACACGCAGGATAGCTACTACTAAATGCGTACAGGAAACGGAAATTCGCAAAGGTTTTTACGAATCGATGTACTGCATTCTTCTTTGGATAATCTCTCTTCAATTGTAAGATTCGTACAATGTAGAGATTAATCGAATAATATTCAACTTTGGTGAAAAATTTAATTTTTAAAGATTCTCGTCGAAACGATCTTTTTCTTACAGTGTTTAATCTGTATAAATTGCTCTCTACACATGTTACGCATAATATAAATTCCTAAATTTACCTCTCTTCTTAGGATTAAAATATTCATTTATTTTCTTAGATTATCTCGCGTTAATTCTCTATACTTTCGCATATAGATAATCTCATCCGACGAGATATATTTATGTCACAGTTGCAATCCGAAAATAGGATACATATAATACAGGAGTCGAAAGCCTGTAGCACACTGCTACAATCCTGATGAAATATTTGCCTGTGAGGAGGTGATTTTAGGATCGCGCAAAGAAATGCACCCCCGCAGACAAAAACTGCGCTTTCCCGCTCTCTTCTCCCTTCGTCGCTCGGACGAAGCGAGATCTATTCTCCTTCTCGAGCTGCCGGAGAAACGTGTACGCATTTTCCGTAAACCGTGTCGATTTCTTTTTTCTTTCTCGACCACGCTTACGCCCGTCGACCACTTTACTCCCGCGAGACAGTCGCTTATCCGGAGTTCCTCATCCTCGAGCGTCTCGGTGTCATCGTCGTCGTTCCCGCCCTGCATCGTCGCCGTCGGCATCGCTGCACGTGCGCATGTCGCGCTCCTTCTCGGCATTTGGCGCGTTTTGAATGTTTAAGAGCGCTTCCCCGAGGTAGTGGGGCGAACGATGCGCAGCGCGGCCACTCCGCGTTACTCCCTTTCTACGCGAGCAGTATAATTCCGGCGAAGGTGATATACATCCGCCACATGTCGCGTCTTCGCGGCCGCGTAAGATGACGTTTGTTACGTACGCACATGTGTACGGCGCGAGGAGTCTGCATGCGCGCCGACCTACGGTTCCTTCATGTGCCTCTGATAAATGGGTAACTCAGTGACCTGCCTCACGTTTTCCGCTCGGTGAACGTAACGCGCGTCCGAACACACACTTGATCGTATGGAGATACCACGTTTGATGATGTCAATAATCTCATTTTTCGCTGTGTACGTACGCACGTATGTACGGCGCGAGAAGAAGTCTGCATGCGCGCCGACCTAAACTCCTTTATACGCCTCTGATAGATAGACCGCTCATTGACCTGCCTCACGTTTTCGGCTCGATAAACGTAACGCGCGTCCGAACACACACTTGATCGATAGTATAGAGATACCACGTTTGATGATGTTAATAATCTCATTTTTCGCTCTATTAATTTATTTCTCGAAATAGATTTATGTATATTGTAAAGTGCGTTATAAAAATGCGTATTGTGAATATTTCACTTTTTCGCGATGTTTTTGTTATAACATAAATTAAAGAGCTCTCGTATAGAACGAGACTTTTCATTTGATTGCGAGACATGCGATTAATCAATCTGCGAGATTATTACCTTCGTATAAAGCCCGTTCTACATTGATCGCATGTAGCCAGTCGCAAGCAAATCTTTAACTCCTTTATACGGCTGCTCGCCTGGGCGTCGCTTTCAGCTAGTGACGCGCTTCTATTGTTTGGTCGCTAATTATCACCGATTGGTAATTAACAGCTTGTGCAGTATATCCTAGTCTGGGAGAGCCGCGATGCTTTGTTCTCCATGCCGTAGAAATGACGTGTCGCATGTGTCAGGATAACAGGATAGCAGGATCTCATCCTGCTATTCCACATTAAAGACAACTATCATCGCCAATCACGTCTCTCGCGTTAAGCCCGTTCTACATTGATCGCATGTCGCCAGTCGCAAGCAAATCGACCAATCACAGTCGAATATTCGACGGAATATTCGACTGTGATTGGTCGATTTGCTTGCGACTGGCGACATGCGATCAATGTAGAACGGGCTTAACGCGAGAGACGTGATTGGCGATGATAGTTGTCTTTAATGTGGAATAGCAGGATGAGATCCTGCTATCCTGTTATCCTGACACATGCGACACGTCATTTCTACGGCATGGAGAACAAAGCATCGCGGCTCTCCCAGACTAGGATATACTGCACAAGCTGTTAATTACCAATCGGTGATAATTAGCGACCAAACAATAGAAGCGCGTCACTAGCTGAAAGCGACGCCCAGGCGAGCAGCCGTTTAAAGGAGTTAAATGTGCTGCTCTTTTGTGTCTCCCCCGCCTTTGTTTTCCCTCCGACTTGCCGCCGTTCTCGATGATGTGTCTCACAAGTCTTCCTCATTGCATAAGAATTCTGATGTCCATTTTTCTGGAACATAATTCACATTAAATTAAATGTGCGATATTAAATATGAGTTTCTTCTTTATTTATCTTTTATTTATTGAAAACATTGATGTTTATCTGGTTGTATTAATAAAAAAGTGTATATTTTGATTTTCAGATTCCAAAAAGCCTGTGTAAAATATGGTGTACCTGATGTTGATCTTTTCCAAGCTGTCGATCTGATGGAACGTAAAAATATCGCTCAAGTAACGAATACTATCTTTGCCATTGGACGAACGGTAATTAATTAATGATGTCATTTTATTATTTTCTTGGAATACAATAGTTAATTTGACATTCATAATTTAACATTCATTTAATCTCTCAAATTTGCAAATTTCTTCAAGCAAAAATCTTTGAAATGGTTTATATGATAAATATTCGATTTGCAATTAATCTGGAAGTAAATAATGTGTAATATAAATTAAATGCATTGTTCTATATCTATATGACAGTCATATTGCTTTCTTAATTATATTAGATAAGCTATTAAATGAAAATATATACATCTTTTATGCCTATAAATTGTTATTTACAGACGTACAAACATCCGGAATGGCGCGGTCCTTGGTTGGGTCCGAAACCAGCGGAGGAAAACAAAAGGTCCTTTACAGAGGAGCAACTAAGAGCTGGCGAAGGACTTATTGGCTTGCAAGCTGGTACTAATAAGGGAGCTACTCAAGCAGGACAAAATTTCGGAGCTACAAGAAAAATACTTCTTGGAAAGTAATTGATAGAAGTTGCATTTTTTATGCTAGAAGTATCCTGTTTAAAAAAAGATAATCCTTTAAATGAATATACATATAAAGGCATAGCAACATAAAATTATATCATTAGAAACGATTTATTTAATCGTACACTCAATACTTTTACAAAAGAACTGTTTTACAATTTTTTTTCTGTCACACACACACACACATATATATATATACACACACACACACACACACATATTCAGCTGGAAAAAACATAAGTGATATTGATATACATATATGTATGTTTCAGACATGTTATAATTATTCTGTGTTTAGTACATCTGCTTGATGTGAATGTATTTAACAAAATGTAATAAGTAATATAATAACACCTATGTTTCGACAATGTGTGTGAAAACTAAATTTATTATTTCTATTTTATTGCCATAAAACATGACAACTTGCATACTATGTTGTTTAAACCTTCTTCGAAACTTTAATGCCGTAAAAGAAAATTGAAATAATTTATTTTAAATCAATATAATTTGACTATATATATTTCAACATTCAATATTTTGTTAATCAAAATTCTACCAACATGAAACAAAAAATTAACTAGAAAAGACTTTCTCATTTCTTATCATTCCTGAAGCTCTATTATTTTCTTTACTCTGATAATTTAAAATTTATTTTCTATATCTCATTTAGTTAAGAAATAATCATTTGACAGATCTCGACGAGAAATATCGTCATATACATCAAAAATACTCTTGTATAATCAAACATTCTACATAGTTAAGTCCGTATTATCACAGTGTCTTAAGCAGATTTTAAGATATAAGCTATTCTAAGCGCGTAAAATTCTTAGAGCGAGAATCTTGTCGCTCTTGCTAGTTTCCTGGCAACTTGGTCGGCGTCCGACAATCGTCTCCTATCGTGAGTTCTGTGTCGGTGCATGGAGCGTGACAGGCTGCTAGACACGTATACACATCTCTCTGCACACGTGTCGCGTCATCGCAAACGCTTGAAGATCAGTCGTCGTATGTACGTACGCATCGACGTACGTATGTACGCAGGTGGCGGAGCGCGTATGCGACAGCATGAGCCTCGTACGTGACAGGGACGACGAGTGGGCGTGACGTGTACGTACACGCGTTACACGCATTCCTTGACCGGTTTCTACACCGCAAGGCTCCCCGAGGATCAGGCGAACATCCTAAGATGGAACATGTTTCGCCGATTCGAAATCATGCTCCGTTTTTCTCCACTCATTCATCATGTTGTCGTCGCTGTTTCTGTAAAGCAGACAATAGACAATTATGATGGTGAAACTGGATTTATTGTTATTCTGGAACAAGTCTCGTCGAAGCAAAAGTTTATATTTAAAATAATATAATATACATAGTAAATATTTAACTGCTATATTTTTTTAATAAAATTCTATATCTAACTATATTTTCTTAAGAGTGACAATATAATAATTAATATCACTAACATTATTAATAGATAATTGATACTTCGATTATACAATGTCAGCAAATTTTGATTTTTATTGAGTTTTTCAATGTGCTATGCTATAATAATTCGTGATCTTCGAATTACTTGTAGATGATTATTTTTTAAATGATGAAATAATCTATCAATTACCAGAATCAAATTAAATGTAAAATTCATCCCATATAGTTGTTTATATAAAATAAACGATAGACTTTTAAAACATAATGAAAGACAAAAATAAAAAATATTAAGAATATGGTAAAAACGTAGTAAGAATGTAGTAAGAACTAATATAATTACACCAATTCTCTCGAATAGAGTATAGTGTAAGAGCATTAAAAAAGTAAAAGAGAAAATTATAAAAGATATATGTATACATATATGTATATGATCTTCTATCTGCGTACTAGAGCATGTCGAGAAACATCTCTATACATATCGATATGATCGATTAAAAATAAAGTGTAAAGAAAGCAAAAGGGAAAACTATATTATGTGCCAATGTATCCTGCATCTCTTTCGACGTGTTTTAGATTTTGATGTTTGTATTTCTTGTATAATAATGTTTTATCGCGCGTGTCGGTCCATGCACGGTGTTCCTCCACGTGCGCGCAATGACGTGGTTTGGCGTCGATCGTGGAGCAGGCCAGTTCTCGGGGACCCCCTGGCGCAGGATAGCAGCATCCCGAGGAGTCTGTTCGCGTCCGGACGAACGGTCCAGACGCACTCGCGATTCACCTCCCGTTGTCTTATGCGCTCCTCTTAAAAGGGGAGCGCTGCGGAGTGGCCGCTCCGCGCATCACTGCGCCCCACTATTCTTCCACGCACTCGCAAACCGCGTACATACGAACGCGGCGCGCGCCGGAGGCTGATACGATTGTGGTCAGCTTATTTCCTTCACACATCACATAAATGCAGATTGAAATGATTTCTATATAGATTCAATTTCATCACTGTCTGCTATAAATACGAGCATTACCTATCTTATATACAGAGTCAATTATTATATAATATTGCGTCTTTAAATCAAGCCTTGATTTTTTTTCATTTCTCTTGTTCATATATTGCAATTTATACAAACGTCCCATCATATATATTCATCTTTATCTCCTGTTGTTTTGATCTTGATGAATAATTTCGTATTTGTATTCTTTTACGCTCGAGAGCAAGATTTATGCCTCAATAATGAATTATAATTAAACAAAAATAATGATTCATTAAGAGGATGCCGGATACCGACAGAATGCGAATATTAGTAGGATTGCAAAATATTTTTGTTGATTACAGATATCAACAAATCCTTTTCCATAATTAAAGTATACATAATAACGGAGTGCGGGGTTTATGATTTCATATGAAAAGTGAGTGTGTGTGTGTGTGTGTGTGTGTGTGTGTGTGTGTGTGTGTGTGTGTGTGTGTGTGTGTGTGTGTGTGTGTGTGTGTGTGTGTGTGTGTGTGTGTGTGTGTGTGTGTGTGTGTGTGTGTGTGTGTGTGTGTGTGTGTGTGTGTGTGTGTGTGTGTGTGTGTGTGTGTGTGTGTGTGTGTGTGTGTGTGTGTGTGTGTGTGTGTGTGTGTGTGTGTGTGTGTGTGTGTGTGTGTGTGTGTGTGTGTGTGTGTGTGTGTGTGTGTGTGTGTGTGTGTGTGTGTGTGTGTGTGTGTGTGTGTGTGTGTGTGTGTGTGTGTGTGTGTGTGTGTGTGTGTGTGTGTGTGTGTGTGTGTGTGTGTGTGTGTGTGTGTAAATGGACTGTTATACGCGTCGACCGATGTTATGTTGGGGTTGTTATTATTTAGGTCGCAAAGTGCCAAAGTGGCGCCAAATGTCGCGACGCTTCATCCCTTAACTATACATATATAGGGCAATGTATATATATAGTTTTCTCCCTCGCACGCAATCTTTCTCTTGCGATGTTTTGACAAATACGAGAACAAAGAAAAATATGACACTAGACAGACAGACAAACAAAATTATAAATGTGTATGTGCTCTATAATTGATTTGTTTCATGTAATAATAAAAAAAGATACAATTTTAATCGGATTATCAGAATTAAGAGGATGCCGGATAGAATACGAATATTAGTTAAAATGCAAAATATTTTTGTTGTTTATAGATATCAACAAATCCTTTTCCATAATTAAAGTATACATAATAACGGAGTGCGGGGTTTATGATTTCATATGAAAAGTGAAAAAAAATTTAAAAATTACAGTTTTGTTATCGGCTTCTGCCGTCAACATTTACTTAATATAAAAAACCTGCAACTTGCACGTGCCTAACAAGTGAACTCCGCACTCGGCATTTTATCAAAGAGTATTAGTGAACTTCGAGAAAGTGAGTTTAGAAGCTTTTTAAAAAAGATTTTACTATGCAACATTTTGCACACCGAAATGTTTCTTATTAGGCTTTCAAATACATTTTCAAACGTTTACTTATATTCCTTCATGCATTTCCGAGTGGAGAGGTATCCTATTTTGCACGTACACACCGCAAAACCCTTATATTAAGCAAATATATAATTATTATGGCCGGTAAAACAGGACGGTCCGGCATCCTCTTAATGAGAAATATAAAAAACGAGAAAATCGATAAATAGCTTTCGCTCTTTAAAATTGTGAAAGAAGTCTTCTAACAATAAGAACCACAAATTTCAGAGGCTTCAGTCGTGCTTATCTGACAACTATGTGAAAAAAAAATTGGTATCTGCTTCGCGATTGAGCGAGTAAAAAAAATATTTCTCGAGGTTAAGCTATTTTACTTAATACATCAGAGTTATTGCGAAATCACATTCGAATTCACATTGCATATGTATAGGCAGGAGAAGAAACAGTTCGAATGGTTTACGCGCATCTCTATACATATAAGAGACACGAAACTCTTTCATGTTCCTGACAACCTATTCGCGTGGAGTTCATTGGTACGTTTCCACGGTGCTCCGTACTGTAGCACCTGATTCGACCGAATGCGAATGACCCACAAACTTGTTATCCTCCTTTCTCTAGCCACGGTGTGTGACTGTCTGAGTGTTCATGATCTCCCAGTAAAGGGTCCCCTCTAGTCGATCGACAAAAGTATCTCGCTATCTATCGGTCGGACAATCCTCGACGAAGATTCCCTCGCAGAACGCAATAGAACGCAATGGACGTTTTTCTCGTTAATTAGGATTTACTTTCAAAGGAGAATATCGTTGTGATGCATTTCTCTGTCGTCGCTTTTGTCATGCCTAAAACACAAAATTCAATTTATTAATTACAAGATAATTAATTACGAGCCGTGTTTGCAGCTTTTATAATCTTCGCAAACGGACCTTTTGATTCCTTTTTTATTTATGGTCTTATATACAATCAGCCAGAATAAGTGACTAGAAATGATCAGAAGAATAATGCATCTCTAGTTTAAGAACTGAAGATGCATTTGTTGAAAGATCAATGAAAGTTTTAATGTGTAATATACGATGCGCGTGTTAAAAAATTTGATATGATTGAGCCGAAGATATGAATTAGTAATAATATACTGTTTGAAATGCGTATATTCCATGTAGTTCTTTCCATTATACCTATAGATACATATGTCACGAGTTTTTATTGACCCATATCATATGATTGTGTTAATAAAATGATTGATGAAAATAGAATGTGCGAGGAATTTAGCACATACGATGGTTTTCTACACTTTTCTTACACGTGCGATAATTATGTATCATTGAAATGAACCATAAATATTTATTTAAATTATATTTAAATGTATAATAATAAAAACACATGTCGATATCGCCAAATATACAACTTTAAAGTTAATCAATTCGAATTTTTACATATTTTAAAGATTCGTCTTTTTCGATATTTTATATATTTTAAACTGATCTTTTATTTGTATTTTGATGCCATATTGAAATATTCAATTAATTAAAATTTATATTTAATACATGT